ATATGTAAATGTACGTTTATACAGTCAAGATATAAACTGTTAAAATATGCTATTCAAAATAATATTTACAAGCGAGTTAATTTTTGAATTAAACGAGAATTTGGATTGAATTCAAGTAGAAAATAGCTGAAAAGAGCGTCAGAGCCGATTATAATTTAGAGTCCGAATCGAAAAACGATTTGGTTTTTGACAACCTGATCCAGTCTTTAGATCAAACTTCAAAAGTAAATTTCTCTTAACTAAACCAAGCAAAAACTCATTCGAAATCATACCTCAATATTACCTATAGATTAAAGTGACTAATCTCATATAGAATATATACAAAAGATATGTATATATGTATATACATATATATTGCAGTAACATACATAACTCAAATACACAATTAAAAACTCGAACCACAGCGTTTCCTGATCGATCTGAATAAAAGTAATATATTTGTACGAAAGTAAGAACAAAATACAAGCAAATGAATTGCTCCAAAATAATATGTAAAATCGGAATGAGTAATAAATCAAATGGAACCAAATAATGTAAAATACACACATATATTTATATATACATATATACAAATATCGTGAAAAAAATTCCCACAGTTCACATACTACATGAAGAGGCTATAGAACAAATGAGGGGGTCGGTCAGAGGGGGGTTCTGATAAAGCATAGCGTTCCGATGCAAACGCGGATAAATTAAAAAAAAAAATACATTAAAAAACGAAGAGAAAAATGGGGAAAAAAATGCATGAATATAAAAATGTATATTTCAGTAAAGGCATTAAAAACAATTTCTAGGGCTTGGCGTGCAAAGTGCACGACTAGCAAATACCCTGTCAGCAAATTGTGTGTGTGTGTGTGAATGTAAATGTGGAGAGGCATATCCAACCCCATAAAGTATTCATAGTATAAAGTATACATTCTTGATCAGAATGAGCAACCGATTCGTCTGAGCAAGCCGGTTTCAGCGACAATAAGAGCTGGAGCATTCAAATTTGGAATATAAGTTCTCACATGCCGTGTATCGATAAGAATCGATTTCCGAAAGTGATACCAGACACAATTGTAAGCAACAAGAACAAGAACAAACTTATCTATAATAAAAGATACAATTGTGAAGATAAAATCTTTCAATTGATTTATAATATAATGTCACATTTGATTGGTAAACTGTAAAAAAATATACATTTTTATTACGATCGGATAAGAAACGCATATTTTGTCAACCATAACGTATTTTCATATTTAGTAAAACACTATTTAAAAGTTGGGTTCTGTTTATCAACTAGTCGAAATGTCTCGTCTAGAGCATTCTAAATGATTCCTATAACTTTCAATGGGTAGCCAGCCCTATTTTTGTGGGTACAGGCAATAAACAATAACCGACCACAAATCGTTTTATGATGCATAACTTCAAAAAAAAAATATACATGCATGTTTCAGTTAAGCTTCTATATACATACATGTGCATGCATACATACATACATATATATGTAAATATAAATATATTATCCAAGTCATATCGTTTGGAATATAAATTGACCATCTTCGAGGGCGTCTTTTATCAACTCGCTCCACGCTCTTGGGGCTAATGCAGGGAGCGCTGGATATGATGCAGAGGGGAAGAGGTGGGGAGCGGCAGTTAGACGTCCGGAACGTATCGCAAATGTTTTTTTTTTCCTTTTTTTTTGACTCTTTTATTTTATTTGTGTTTTTCTTTTTATTGTACTCCTATTGTTTGGTTTGCTTTTATTCAACGGAAATAGTTTTTATCTATGGCACACAGACTTTGCTTTTAGCTTATGCTCTACTATTATTCTCTTTCATTCTTTACTTGCTGCTTTTTTCTTCTTCTTCTTCTCTCTTTTTTCTTCATCAATTTTTGTAAGCATTTGTTAGATTTTTGCTCGTTTTTATACCCTATAGAGAGTAGGTTGAGTAAGAGTTTATAATTTCTACAAAAATACCGAAATTAAAAGGAATTTTGCCCTTTTAGTCTGAAAGTCTGTATATCAAAAACTTTATGTAGGGTATTAGCTCGCGGCATATTTGCTGTTATTTTTTTATTCTTCCTCTTTTAGCTTTATCAGTAAAATTTGCCTAACGGTTTCTCTTGTAGAGGGTATTATAATTGTATCGTGAATTTTGTCATGTCGTGTCGACATAGCCATGCCTATTTGTCCGATTTTGTACATCAATTTTCTAAAAAAGAATCGGTCATAAGAAGTTCTTATTTAACAAGATATCCGAAACAAACTCATCAGTTAGGCGGATAATTAAGTTCTTTACAACAAATGGTGGAGATTGGACTTCTATAACTTATAGCTGCCATAGTACAAATTGGTGAAGCGCTGACTTCTTGTATACAAAGCTTTTTTGTTCAAGTTAGCCTAGCAAAACACACCAGCTAAGCGTATTATTGAGCTCCTAAAACGTGGACATAAGTCTAACAACATCAAAATACCATATCATATAATTTTAATCGGAACAATAGATCCGTTTATTTAAGTTTTTGGCAAAGTTTTGATGTCGGCAATTTGATTGCGGTCGTCAAGGGAATCCAATCTTCGACAGAGGTTATTTGCATTGGGTTATTATTTTTTCTTTATAGTTTTAATTGTGTATTTTGCTAGTGCATTCAGAGACACAATCACACCATATAAATAAATAAGATAGCCGTGTATATTATATACATTTATATATATATATATATATAGACATCAACGATATTTGTGTGCATTTGTTTGCTCTTTTTTCCGTTATTATTATTTTTATTACTTTTTTTTACTTGGTTCCTTCGTTTTTTCTGTAATTTGATGTCTTTGTTTACATATTTTTTTAATTATAAATAAGCGCTGATATCAGCGGTGAGGGGCGTAAAGAGCAAGATATGAGAATAGAAAACCAAAAAAAATATATACATACGTATATATAAATACAATGACTGATACGCACAACAAAAAATTGCCCCAAAAACCCCATAAAGTTGCAAAAACAAAAAAAAATACCCAGTTCGGGGAATCTACTTAAAAATTTGTTCTTTTTTTCTTGTACTGTTTTGACGAAACTTTTGCCTTCCTCAAATGGCTGCAGATCGTAAAATTGATTGGTCAACAATGAAACTTACATAATTCACATAAATTCATATGTACAACGACAATACATCGATATATATATATATATATATGTATATAAAAGTATAAACAAATAATATTTACATAAAACTCGTCGCAAAACTCGTAACAAAAACAAAATCAAACAAAAGATGGAAAAAACCAAAGTAAAAACTTTTCATAAATTGTGCGCAATAAAAAACAAAAACATTTTTCAACAGAATTTGTCCGTCTTTTTTCCTGCTTTTCCCCCCCTCACATGGTACATAAAGTATACAAAACACAGTGCAGTTTTTTGTTTTGGGGCACATATTCAATTCAATATTTTTTGTAGACATTTCTCGATCTGAAACACTTGTGTGGCCTCCTCGTTAAGCAAAACCAAATTTTGTCATAAGTTTTTGCGAAAAAATAAAAGAAAAAAAATTTATCGACAATAATCAAAACAAGGCCATGGGCTTTGTTGTTGTTGTTGTTATTGCCTGCCTAACTCAACTCTCTCCGTCTCTCCACCTCTCTCTCTCTCTCTCACACACACACTCTCCATGTCGTTGTTATTTTGCGATTTGGATGAACTTGAAATTTTGGAGAGCCAACAAAACAGCGAGGTAATTGAAATGTGTGTGAGTGGAACACGCGTCACAGTCGCGTCGCAGTCGCGTTTAGCCGCCACACTCCACACACACACACACATACAAACAAGCAAACTCTCGCACACACACACACTCGCACACAGATAAAGGCTTGCACTCGAAATTGCGTTGAAGCTGCGTCAAAAGCGGACAGTGGAACGCCGCGCATACGAATGTCGTTATGAAAACAAAAAAAACTAATAAAGCAGCGGACAAAAACAAACAGCCAACTGACAACAGCAACGCTGGCAGCAGCAGCGGCACCGGCAGCAATTTGCAATTTTAATTTTGCGTGATTGTTTTTTGTTTTTTTTTTTTTGTATATACTGTATTTGCACAATTAAAGTTAAAAATAAAAAAAATAAAAAACGAATGAGGAGCAATAACAAACTTAAAAAAAAAACTCAATTGCAAATTGCTTGGCTCATTTTGCGGGCGCCTTTTTTTTATTCGCGCGCGGGAAAGGCGGAAATTGCTCGTGTCTCTTTCGCACTGCCTCTTTTATAATTGACAAAGCCACACAAAACAAAAAAAACAACAACAACAAAATAAGATAACAACTCCCAATAAAAACAAATATACAAAAAAAAAAACCAAAAGCCTAGCAAAAAAAATTAATTACCAACTGAACAGAAAGCAAAACACAAAAAAAAAAGCAAAACAATATAAAAAAAAACTGACAATTTTTAATCTGCTTCCTTTTGTTCTGCTTTTTAACGAATTTATTTCTTGTTTTAAAGTTTTGCTGATTTTTTTATGAAATTAACTTTAAAAGCGTTTTACTGTGCAAAATTCATTTTAAAAAAATTGTCAAATATAAGCAAGCAATATTTTTGAATTATTATTAATTATATATGCCAATTGCAATTTCAATTTTAATTCCAATTTGAACAGAAGCAAAAACAACAACAGCTGGCAAAGTCAACAAACCCGGAAAGAAACGTTTCAGCGAGAACAACGGAATTTTATCGTAATACTTTATTTTTGACTCATGCACTTGCAAAATATAAAAACAAAAAACAACACGAAAAAAAAACAAAACAAATAATTGAGTAAAAAGGTGGAAAAAGAGTAACAGCTAATATTTAAAAACAAAAAGAAACCGCAAACAATACTTTTATTTATTTTTCAGCTAAAAATAACATTTCCACTTTCCTGTTTTTGTTGTTGTTATTACCGTTATGTTTTTGCTTAGCTTTTTGGCACAACAAATAAATAATAAAAAAAAATATATATATATATTGTTTTGGATTTCTCACCTTTATGAGTTGTTTTGAGGTCTTCAAATGTTTTTTTGTTTTTTGGTTTTCTTGCACAATTTATTTACTGCTTTTTATTTAAATGGCACGCAGGCAGTTCTTTGGTAAATTCATTCATACATTTTGCGGCGTACACAAAAAAAAAATATTGCATCGCGCGCTTTTTTCCATATAAGCTAACGGCTAACGGTTTATGACGTATTGACGTATCGCGCTGACTTTTGCTTCTCTGCGCCGATCCACCAACCGACCGGCTTAACAGTTAAATATCAACTGAAAGTGTTTTGCAGTCACAGCGACAAAGTGTGCAGCCCTTGCTGCTGGTACTGCTGCTACCCAGCCCTCGCACCATGTTGTTTTTTGCATTTATCGATAAACATGTGGTTCGATTACATGACAACCTCAGTAAATTGAACAATATAAGCGTCAGAATGACTTTACCTACTCCAATATGCGCGTATTTTCTTTATTTTCATTTAAATTTAAATTTAAGAATTCAAATAAGCTTAACATGGTTGTGCAGAAATATTTAAATATCGATTGTGTGAATTGCAAAACAGCTGATCTGGTGAATAGCGACGATGCCGATGTCTGTTAGCTATTGAACGGCAAAGGGGCAAGTAAACAATAATTTCTGTCGCTTATCAGATGTAGAAAAGAACAGAATCACAAAAATATCACCAAAATGCAGGTCAAAGTTTATCAGCTGCAACCGATGGTCGCTAGACTGGGTCGCCTCATTTGTCAGCTAGTATAGATTTGGACGCCGTACGCTGCATATAAGAGGAGAGCGTTTCTGAGCAGAAACTTAAAAAAAAAAAAAAAAAAAGTCGATCATCATGCAAAACTTGCGATCTGCTGCTGTCCGTCTGCAAACGAAACTCTGTTGTCCAGTTTATGCAGCAGCTCGAACGTTAACATTGACCAACAACAGCTGTCAGCGTCATCGGCAGCAACAGTCTGCTGTCAACTTCGCCGCACCGATATTTCATATGCCGGTACAAGCAACCGGCACGATCAGAAACTGTTCAGGTTCAGACGCAGTAAGTTTGTGTGCGCGTTAAAGAATATATAAAACTTTTCTAATAACTATATCACGTATACACATCAATTAAAAAGTTAGTAAGTGATAATCTAAACAAGCAATTCTATTTAACTTGTTCGAATTTGTAAATATATCAATTATGTGATCTTTAATTTGAAACCCTCCTTTGAGAAACACGTCGATTTTTTTGTTGTTGCTTTTGCTATTGTTTCTGCTGCGCTTTAGGGTTAGCAACGCGTGCTTCGAAGCTGACCTTGAAAGAATTACTTGAATCGCCCTGTGCATGCTTCATGTTTCGCTTCGTGCTTAACGCATTTAAATGCCTACGCAAAATAATATTCTGATCTAGCTGCTATTTGTACATTTTTTGCAATTGACAACAGAAGTTAGTTAGCAGTGGAGCGTGGGGCGTGACACGACGAGGGGCGTGGGGGCGACGACGCCCAGTTGATTTTGCCATTAGCAACTGACATTTAAATTGAGTTTCATTTCTTTGGATGCACGTAGCCCATTTTTCCACAGTGATCACTCCACAAATGAGATGATGCTTTTCTTTTTTTGAGAAAATTTTGAAAATATCCGTTGATATTGATATATTTTCCACTAGAAAATTTAACTCGTAAAATGTAAAATTGCACTAAATCGTTAATTGAATTTATCCGTTTTGTTTTGTGCATTTTGGAAGCAGAAATTTAAGATAGATAAAAAAAGATATGTGTTCACTTGGAATATCGTATGTATTTTCTCATATCGTATGCATTTCCTTTGTTTCTCTTCAACTTTTTTTTATTTTCATATTTTATGAGTGTTCTAGTTGCAGTTTTCTGGGAAGCAATGAAAATATAAAGTAAACAAAGCGAAAAAATGATTGTTTACTGGAAAATTGCGCTTGTTCTTTATTCGAGCGTAAATTATGTGCATTTTTGGCTTTCCACACGCTTTGCAATTGTGTATATATTCAGAAATGAAGTCTGAAAGTAGCTTAAAATCTGTTCTAGCTGGATTATTATTATTTTTTTATTTTGATAAGATGTTGACTTCTGAGACGACTCGACCAGCGATTATGATAGTGTATTTTGTTGCCCCCAGCTAAGACGCTTATCGTTTAAATTTAACTTGAACTTTTGACACATGCCAGCCGTGATAAGCAAGAATATAGCTCGAGGGGGGTCTATTTTCAAAATGGGATACTCTGGCGTCCAGCTAGCAACCTGTACCTGCCCCATACAAATACAGACAGACAAAATGAAAAAAAAAAAACATAAGTTGACTGCACACGCGAACGATGAAAATAAAGTAATCTTATCGTGCAACAGGAATGTATATACATATATATAGGGAGAGAGGGATCAGCATTATTCTCTTATCAGTACAATAAAATTTTCCGATGTTTTTTTATTTGAACTTAATGAACCGTTTCTATTCAAAAACATGCAAATATTTGTGTTTTCAGTTCGCGATTGCATCGATTACAATTCATTGCACTTTTGATCATTGTCGCGATCGCAACTAGAAATCACAGCACAAATCAGAACTAATAACCTGATTTAGAGTATTAGTTAAGAATTGACGGCACTAATAATAATCATTTAAATACAATGCAGAAAATGGAGGACCAGAAAATGTTGCAGGCCACGCTGAAGGAGAGCGATCCCGAACTCGCTGCGATCATCATAAAGGAGAAGCAGCGTCAACTGGAAGGTCTCGAGATGATTGCCAGCGAGAATTTCACCTCGGTGGCTGTGCTGGAAAGTTTGGGCTCCTGCTTGACCAACAAATACTCGGAGGGTTATCCCGGCAAGCGGTAAGTCAACATCTATCCACACACCTGGACAGTGAATTAGGTGTGAATTGCTTGACAAACATTTCTTTGTTAACACTGTGAATTAGATGCGAGTTGCATTCAATTAAGAAAACGTTCATTTCTCTATTAACTTTGTTGGCAAAAGGTTAGATTTGAATATATCAATTATAATACAGACTTAACTGAGCTATCAAATAATACTAAATGAGCCAAGGACATCACTACAGCGCTGGGAATAAAAGTTAGTGTCTTGGAGCTTAGAACAAGGAATAAATAAACAATTGCATAACCACATCAATTGGCTCACAACTGCTCTACAAATGCTCTTAAGCCAGAAAAAACATTGAAAGCCACGAAGCATTCATTGAAACCGTATCAGCAATCGATAATCGTACTTTGTTATCCTCTAAAAGTGATCCTTTTTAGATTAGATTAGAACAGCAAACTTTTAGTTGGGTAAAAACTTGGCATTATTTGAGAGGTTCAATTAAATGACAAAACAGTCTCTGGAATGCCAGGAATTAGATATTAATTAGTTTGTTTAAGAATGCCAAAGGAAACGTTAGCCAAGTTATTGTCTTCACACCAAGTTTACTGTCCAGATGTTTATCTATCTATGCGGATCCATTTCTAATCTATATGTAAACATCTACACACAGCTACTATGGCGGCAATGAGTGCATCGATCAGATTGAGCGAATGGCTCAGTCGCGTGGCTTGGAGCTCTTTAACTTGGATAGCAGCGAGTGGGGCGTCAATGTGCAACCGTATTCGGGTTCTCCGGCGAATTTGGCTGCGTATACGGGCGTGCTGCGACCACACGATCGCATTATGGGCTTGGATTTGCCCGATGGTGGACATTTGACGCATGGCTTCTTTACGCCCAGCAAGAAAATCTCAGCCACATCGATATTCTTTGAGAGTATGCCGTATAAGGTTAATGCGGTGACGGGCCTCATTGACTATGATAAGCTCGCGGAGGCTGCTCGCACATTCCGTCCCCAGATCATCATTGCGGGCATCTCGTGCTATTCACGTCTGCTGGACTATGGACGCTTCCGCAAGATCTGTGACGAGGTCGGCGCCTATCTAATGGCCGATATGGCACACGTTGCCGGTCTCGTTGCCGCCGAGCAGATACCCTCGCCATTCCAATACGCCGACATTGTGACGACGACAACGCACAAAACGTTGCGTGGACCACGTGCCGGTGTCATCTTCTTCCGCAAGGGTGTGCGCAGCACCAAGGCCAACGGTGACAAGATCCTATACGATCTGGAGGATCGCATCAATCAGGCCGTATTCCCAGGTCTACAGGGTGGTCCGCATAATCATCAAATTGCTGGCATTGCCACAGCATTCAAGCAGGCGAAATCCGTGCCGTTTAGGAACTATCAGGCACAGATCATCAAGAATGCGCAGACACTGTGCAAGGGTCTGATCAATTTGGGCTATGAGGTGGCCACCGGCGGCACCGATGTCCATCTCGTTCTGGTCGATTTACGCAATAAGGGTTTGAGTGGCGCCCGGGCCGAACTGGTCCTCGAGGAGGTGGGCATTGCTTGCAACAAGAATACGGTGCCGGGTGATAAGTCCGCACTGAATCCGTCCGGCCTGCGCTTGGGCACACCGGCGTTGACCACACGTGGCCTGCTCGAGAAGGATATGCAGCAGGTGGTCGCCTTCATTCATGCAGCGCTCAACATTGGCGTTGAGGCGGCTAAAGTCACTGGTGGTCCCAAATTGACCGACTTCGCCAGGACCCTGGCCGAGAACAGCGAGATCAAGCAGAAACTGGAGGATCTTCACAAGTCCATCGTCAAATTCAGCACCAGCTTCCCACTGCCCGGCCTTGGTTCCCTGTAAAAATTGCAAAGATTGCAACAAAAAAACAAGCAACAACAGCCCATTATGTGAATGGGAATATATATATATATATAACTTTGTTCTGATTACTCAAAAATATTGTTTTCCAATCTCCAGTATGAATATATATGTCCGCATTAATATATCAATTTCATGATTAATCCTTAATTAAGATATTAAAAACCCAATTTTCTAAACATTAAAAATGATTTACGTTTGTATTTATTTTTGATTTAAGTTTTTGATATTTATTTTCGATTCAACTGGTCCATGTTGCAATATGGCTATATGCATATATGAATATAATTCTGTATATATATATATATATATAGAATTAGGTACACACGTAACTACAACTAACATTTAGCTACAATCCAAATTGAAACAATCGAGCAACTTCGATATACGTAAAAAGTATATACTTCAAAACTTACTCATGCATATTCATATATATATATATACATATATCTTCGATTCTTATAACAGATCTTTCATAATACTTGGTCACTTAGCTATATATACGCACACATATCAAAAAGATAGAAAGTTCAGTACATCAACGACTCCTTATTGGATTTGTTTGCTTTTAGAAATTTAAAAAGCTTTTTTCTTGCCTGGAGGGATATATCTGGACTATCTATAGAAAACTTGGGATTTATACATTTTTATACGAAAAATAATTCAAATTAATCTCACTTCTGTTAAACATACGTTTTTCATTTATAGTTTCAAATCGGAAGATAATTCAATCGATTTGTTTGCGAGAGATCTTTGATTAAAGTACAAATGAGTATTCCTATAAAAAAAAAATATATTTTGCGATTTTATGTTAATTTTAATGTGAAAACTTTATAAGTAAGAAAATCGTAGGCATATCTTATTTATTTATTTATACATACAGATAACAATTAGTATTTATTTTCTTTCTATTACTGAAATTCTTTTGAAATATTTCTCACACTTAATCAAAGAAGTATTCATTCATTCATTCATATATCAAATAGAATAATTATGTAGAGGTATTTAAAAATCGGTGTGCTTTTTGAAACCTATATTAGATATGCCTCTAGCCTAATTGAACCTGTTCCGCAATCCAATTCACTTTTCCAGTTTTTCATTTATGGCATTTTATGCTGTTTTAGGTTCTTTCAACATTTTTAAGTGTGTAACATTTTCGAAAATTGAACTGTCAAAGTTTTGATTAAATATTAAAAACTATTTGTCATGGTTTTTGTTTGAAGTAAATGTCTTAGAATAATTATTTCTTGACCATAACACTGAGAATGCAATCACTTATTTGAGTTGCAAATTTAGCAAGCTTTGAATTTTGCATTTGATCTTAAAAGAAGTGAAAAACGCAACTTAAGAGCAAACAATATTTGTAGTACAAAATTCGTGTTAGTTATTTAAAAACATGCACATTTTTGCTAGAGCAATATAGATATAGGTGAAGCGAAATCTATACAATCTGTCTATATCTTTTTAATATTTACACAATTTTTGATGTGAAATATACAAATTCTTCAATATTGTATGGATTTCCAACTCAAATTCGGTTGGGTTACAGAAACTGAAAGAAATTCGAGTGTATTTCAATTGGAATACGAAACAGATTTGACTAACTGGGGTTATACATATATATAGAATTTATACAACTTTTACTGATTAGCTAATGATCTAATAAAAAAAAATATGTCTCACTTTCTCTCTCTCTCTCTCTCTCTCTCTCCCTCTCTCTGTCTCTCTCCTATTGTGTGTGTGTGTTGGGCTATATTCGAGCTTAGTTCAATGGCTGATCGGGAAAATCGATTTTGGTTAGCTCCTTGCTCTGACGCGCATCGCGATGAAATCGGGAATTGTGCGTGGAAAGCGACCATTTCGTTTTGAAGTTCTTCATGCAGATGAAGCACTCGTGCTCCTTGCTCTGGATCTCCGAGTGCCTGGATGCGATGTGTCGCCTCAATGCATTCATCGACTGCAGTCGTCGCTTGCAGAAGCTGCAAATGAGCGCAACTCCGGTTGCGGCACTCTCCTCAACGGTGGCAACGGCTCCAGATCCAGCTGCTGAAACAACAAAAAACAAATTAATAATAACAATAACAATTAATCATTGTGTGCATAAGAAAAGCAATACTGTACTCGTACTTAAGTAAAAAGTCGTTTCGATTTAAGCAGGAAATACATATAGCTTTTTGGCTTTTATTACGTGTATTTTTTATTTGATTTTATGTTGCAATCATTTTCAATGAGTTTTATCTCTTTTTTCTTTTAGTAAAGAGCAGAAAATTTTAATCATCTATATATATATATATATACGATATATATATATATATATATATAAATACATGCATATTTGGTTCTCTTCACATACTTGTTTTTCATTTCATTTTCGTTTTTATTAATAAATTACACAAATACTAGACACAAATATTTAAATTGATTTTCGCTTTATTTTGTTACCCGTGCAGAGTTTGCAGGTTTCTTTTTCTGAGTTTTAGTGGGCTGTTTTCTTGAATTCTTCAATATCTTCAATATTCGGTATCTCAACTTGAGCAAATATACTCTAGTCGACTGCTTTAATTGCCTTTCGTTCCCTCTTTGCTTGCAAGTTGCTCACCAGGCAAACATTTAATTTGTGGCTTTTCTTCTTTTGTTGTTGTTTGATTTTCTTTTTCCATATATAAAAAGATACAATAAACTTGTTTACAGTTAAGAACATCTATATGTGTAGTTACTATATATGTATATCATATGGCTGGCAATTTTGTGAGAACAAGTCTGTCTGCAAGGGTAAATCAAACTTCGGCATGCCGAAAGCAGTTTTTTGCTATTTCAGTTGTTTTTTTTCTTCCTTGAATATATAAAATAATACGTATGAGTTGTTCAATAAACATTTAGCCTTTCAATTAACTATCTTTAGTATGTGTGTGTGTTGTGTGTGTGTGTGTGTGTGTGTGTGTTGTTTGTTGGGTGTGGACAGTATACAGCTTATGACATGTATTTATATTTACTTAAAAATAGCCAATTAAATATGATATTATGTCTAAAGTGTAATATAGCCAAATAGTTTTGGAAATTGGAGAAAGGGGTTTTCTAGTGTAAGCTTAAAATAACTAAACAATAATTTACAAAAGTTTGCTTAAGCAAAACCAAAAAAAAAAAAAAGAACCAAATTAAAAAAAAAAGGAAAGAAAGAAGAAAATATTGAAATGATTTTGTTTTGTTTTTTCCTTCAGTTTGTACAAGTTGTGTGTGTGTGTGTGGAGGTATGTGTGTGTGTGTGAGTGTGTGTGTGTGTTGAGCAAAGTACATAAATATTTAAAAACATAAGTTGACTACGGCTTGCGAACTGTCAGCCTGCTCTGGCTTTGGCTCTAGCTCTCTCTCCCTCTCTCTCTCTCTATCCCTCTTTCTACAAATGATATACATATATATATATATAAATATATATAATATATTATACTAAATATTTATATTTGTATTTTATAATAGTTAAGTTTAAAGTATGCTCTATTTAGTATATACAATTTTGTGATGTACGCAACGCACTTCGGCTAGCTAATTCACTAAAATACATCAATTAATTTCATTTCGTTTGAAGTTGTTTTTGTATTTGTTTCTGCTTTTTTCTCTGGTAATATTTTGCTTTCGAATTCAATATTAGGAATATATATATATATGTATATATATGTTTAAATATGGAGAAAAGAAAAACCAGCTCCACTGACTGACTCGATTTGCTTACAAATTAGATTAGCCACAAAGATTCAAATTAGACACACAAAAAGCACACATATATATATATATAAACATACATATATATATATATATATATCTGTTCACATGGATAGCGCTCACCGATCAGTTGCAAGCTTAAACATTTGATATTTTTATACATTTATCTAAATATTTGCAAAATTGTACACATTTCATTTGAGTTTTATTCTTTTTTTTTTTTGCTGATTAATCTTGTTTTTGGCTAACACAAAGAAAAATAGAATTTGACTGCTGGATACTGGCAATGTTAGTGCTAATGACTGGAAAAGTGGGTGTGGCTGTGACTGTGTGTGTGTGTGTGTGTTGGTTTGTTCTTCTTCTTCTGGCTTCTACTGTTCACATTTGTTGCAGTGGTGCAGCTTCTTATGTTTTTCATAAGCAAACATTTTTAGTGTGTATTTTTTTTTTATTATTTTTTTTTTTTGCATCTTGTTATTGGACGTAATGTTCTATGTGTTCTCTTCCCTCTTCCTCTCTCCCACACACTCTCTCTCTCGCTCGCTCTCTCTCTCGCTCTGTCTGTCTCTCTCTCTCTGTCTCTTTGGTGCAGTGCTGCCTCGTCTCGTTTCGTCGCCTTTTTGTGAGCATCATCATCATCATCATCATTGTTTATTGTAAGCCATGCTGCACGGTGAAAATTGTCCATCAGTTTTCCGTTTTGATGGCAACCTTTTGCTCATGGGAAATGCGAATGTGCTCGCGCAGGCTGTATTTATTCTTGAAATTCTTATTGCAGAGATCGCATTTGCGCGGTGGTTGCGGGGTGTGTTGGGTGCGAATATGTCTCCAAAGATTCACCGTGGTAATAACCATTTTGCAAAACTGACATTCTGTCCATTTATTATTGGGTGAATCTAAAAATATACAGAAAAATAGAACAATATTATAGTATATTTGCATTGCTTTCACATTTCTTGTTCCATTTCTGTTTCCATTTTGTTGTTGTTTTATTTTTTATTTTGTTTTTTTTCTCAGTCAATTACATTTTTGTGTAGAGATAAAGACAGATACGAGCAGTAGACAAACACTTTGGAGACATATTCGACACCAAAACACAATATATAAGATATATATATATATATACAAATGATAATCAAAAGCCATAGAAACTATATATTTAATTAAAAGTACGTTGCACCAACACCAACAATTAAAGCTAAATAAAACATTAAACATTAATCATAAAGTAAGAAAAGATAATCATTAAATAATATTTGCTTTTAATATATATATATATATATATATATTTACACATATTTACAAATAATATTGCAATTAACAATACAAGCTTCAAATCTGCTACAAATAATAATAGCAATTTATATTTTTATTCCTGTATAATACAATATTTGATCTTTAATCAAGTGATGAGTGGGGAAAGTTGTCTTTTCTATTCCCGATTATATTATCAATAACAGAAACCGTTCAACTCTCCTTCGTTAATAATATTAAATCTCCTCATGACTTTGTTCAAAGCCGATCAATAAAATCATCTCGAGTCGAACCCTTTTTTGCCATTATTTCATCATTTTGCAAATAAAAAAATAAACATTCAATTTTATTATGATGCTGTTTCAGTCTAGTTGCATCTATTAAATATCGTTTTTGGCAAATATTTTATTGAAAAGACTGGAACAAAGTTAGAAACCCTTTTTTGTTTAGACTTGGATTTCTTATATTTTGTTATAAATATATATATTTTCCCAATTTTACCACTTACTACAAAATTATGAAGCCCATTTTACATATATTTATTCTGCATCAAGAGTTGAAAATACGTATTTTTGAAATCAAATCCAGTTTTGCAACTAGTTTGCTAGCTGTTATTTCTGGTTCTGCACCGATTCCCATTCCCATTCCCATTTCCAATTCTCAGCAGAGTTAAGATTAAAGATATATGCATATATAGACTGATTGCAAGCACTTACCGATGGTGCCACTGGATTTGATATCGGCTTTCACTGGCGATATTGAGACGGTGGTTGTGCCACCGGTTACCGCAACATTGGCATCCTCGAGCACCGCCTGGGTGGTTGCCGTCGTTGTTGCCACACTCGCCGTGCCCAGCAGGCGTGCTTCAATTTGCAAACAATCACAATTAGTTCGATATATATATATATATATATATATATATATACTCACTCATTTCGATGGCAATTTCGGCATTCTCGTTCTCTGCCTGATATTTCTCCTCCATTTCGGATTCGGTTAGGATCTCGTATTCGGATGAATATTGTGCCACATTTTGTGCGGCCGCCGTTGTCGCATCCTGTGTCGTTTGCGGCGTGGCACCGTCCGACAGTCGATCATCGACCTCGCTCACTATATAATCGGGTATATCCATTTTGACAGTGCCACGCAGAAATGTCATCTCAGCAGCTGCAACACAAATCAATAAGTTATTCTTCATCATAAGCCAAAGATTACCGTTTAAGCTAAGTTTCAAACTGTTGAAATCAGTTGGCATAACATTATAAACAGCCTTATAAATAACATCTAAGCCTATAAATAGTTCAAAAATAGCAAACGCTTAAAAATCATTGCACATTTTAGTATTTATAGTGGAACAAAAGTGATCAGATCTGCAAACGAACTTAAAATCGATTTATTAAATTGGTTCGACTGATACTTGATATAAAAACTATTCGAAAGAGCTTTATAAATAATATTTATATAATATAATAATGATATAAACTATTCCCCAAGACTTTTATAAATAATATCCATATAATATAATAATGAGAACAGCTTTTCAGAATCAGAATTAGAGCCTAAAATCTAAATTTGTTGAACTGATATTGTTTGTGCCGGAATTATCGTATCGGAAGAATAGTTAACACTATTACTAAGCTACTTATTTATTCTTATTTTATATTTTATTGTACAGTTGCCAATACGTAAACGATTATCGCAAGAAAGCTTTAACAAATTAACTAAATTTCTACAATCATTTTTATGCTATTCGAACTTAATTGAAAGAGTTATATCGTAATATATATATATATATATATCTATATGTGCCTTGGCTTACTTTTGACAATGGTCTGCTCGTCCTTGACGGCATAGTCGACCGTTTCGGTGGTATAGATGTTGTCATCATCGTCGGAGAAGGTAATCTTGCGCTTCTTCACCTGGTTCGCTGTGGGCATTGTTACCGCATTGCTGATTGTCAGGTGCTGCGCCTGCGCTGCTGCCTGTTGTTGTTGTTGCTGCTGTTGCTGTGGCTGTTGTTGTTGCTGCTGCTGCTGCTGCACCTGTTGTTGCTGCTGCTGCACCACTTGCTGTTGTTGTTGTTGTTGCTGCTGCTGTTGCACAGGTACCGCTTGCACCTGAATATGCTGAATCTGAGTGCTTTGTACATGATGATGTTGCTGCTGCTGCTGCTGCTGTTGTTGCTGCTGCTGTTGTTGTTGGTTTTGCTGCACTTGCAGCTGAGCTATGGCAACAGCGTTTTGCGTTTGAATCTGCGTTGCTGTTGCCTGCAGCAGCGTTGCCGTTGGTATTTCAATGGTTTGTTGCTGTTGCTGCTGCTGCTGTTGTTGTTGCTGTTGTTGTTGTTGTTGTGTTCCATTCTGAACAATGCTCGCAATTGCCACCTGCTGCTGCTGCTGCTGCTGCTCGTTGACGGCGCGTATTGTGCTGGGTATCGTTTTGATAAGCTTGTGCTCGCTAATTATGGGCACCACCGGCAACTGTGGCTTCTCCTTCTCCTCGGCGGTCAAGCCTTGCACGGCCAAAAGTTCGGCGGTCTGCAAAAACGATTGCAGCGCCTCTTGTTGCACATTTACCTCGCCCTAAAAAAAACAAGCGAAAATAATCAAAAATGTTGCACACAAAATTTATCGCAGTCAAACTTCAACAACGCGCAATCGAGAATGAACAAAATAATTATATATATCTATATAGAAATATATTCGATTCGGCTTTAGTGAAGTTGGACTGTACAGTACTGTACCTGGTACATGAACTCCACAATGGAATTGAGATCCTCGAATTTGATAAACTTAAATATGATGACGGGATGCGGATGGGGATTCTCCTTGAAGATCTCCTTGAAATACGACGAGCACGAGGACAGCACCACTTTGTGTGCCTTAATCTTGCGCCCATCCACACAGAGGCTAACATCGACGAAGTCATCGTTGAGCCGGTGATTATCCAATGAGTAGGTCAAATGGCGCAAATAGTTATTCCAACGCAGCGAATATTGTTGTGTTGTAGCCATCGCTTAAGACCTTCTTTATCACATACACACACTCACACACACACACACACACACAACACAACACACACACTGTAGCTCTCTTTCTCCCTCTCGCTCGCACGCAGAGTTTGTGTATTGGGGCCCCCGCCGCCCCCGTTGGTTGCAGGCAGGCTAATCCAATTAAGAGTTTCTTGCAGTTTTCCTTTTCGGTTAGCGCCAAACGCGCTGCTGCCACTGTTGCTGCTGCTGTTTATATATTTATATAGATATATATATATATATATTCGATCTGTGCAATTGTGTTATTTAATTAGAGGCAGCCTTTTTGGTTTGTTTATTTGTGTGCACTTTGTTTTGTTTTGTTTTCAGTGTAGTTTTTTTGTGGCTTGGCGAAAAAGAGGTTTGCAAAAGCCTTGAAATAACCACATATACAGTCGAATTTTACAATACGCACACGCACACACACTCAATATGTTTATTTATTTATTTTGTTTTTCGATTTTTTTTTGCGCTTTGCAGCTATTCATTTTTATAGTTTTTCTCTCATTTTCCACGGCAAAATTTAGTTGGTTTTTTTTTTGGCTACCGAATGTTATTGTAGCATTATGTTATACCAAAATATGCGTGCTATCGTTTCTTATCGTCTGCTATCGCTTGCTATCGATAGCACCATATGTTAAGCCTAACAGCAGCGGCGCCTGTTAACTGTGGTTACTACCACTGCACGCTAGATGGCGCCCACTCAATGTTAACAACACGCAAATAACGCTCAAAATCAACATCAGCAATTTAAATTCAATTTTATTTGACCAGATACAAAAAAAAAATAGCAAAAACACTTTCATATAGTAATAAAGAAAAAAAATAATTAAAATTAAATAAACACACACACAGAGATAAAAAGAAATAGCAATGTATTAGGGGGGTTGGGGAGGCGGGGCATGCTTAAGACAAGAAAATGCGCACGGCCAGCTTATAAACGATTCGCAATAGAAATCCATAAACGATCGCACGGAATAAACAATCCAAGACGTAGAAGATCTTTATGCGCAACATTGCGCCCCGGCTGCTCTCGGGAGTCTCGTGCAACAGATACTCCTTGGCGCCCCTAATGCCATTCCGGAAGAATTTCACATAGTCAATATTCGAGTACTGCATAAAACCAAAAATCGATCTGCAAAAACGAGATTTTTTATCTTCGCATAACATAAGATTAGATAAAACTTACATTTCGTTTTCGGGCACTGAGTCGTGTAGGGACTTGAAGTTATCATTCTGAAAATGCCATTCGGTGATCGCAAAAATATGCAGCGCTTGAAATGCGGCGAAAATGCGACGTTGCAGCTTCAAAAGGCTGTGGGAAGGTAAACAAAAATTTGATAAGCAAAGTGGCTTAAAGAAAAAGGGAAAACTTATCATTTTCTGTAGTGCAAAACTTTTTTTCCTTTCTGTAAAACAAAACTTTTTTTGGTTTTACAAGTGCTTTGTCCAGTTAAAAACAAATAAGACCTGAACTGTACAGCTTAGGATGTGCTTCCGGCACTACTTACAATGGCTTCTCATTGGTCAAGCGCAGCAAGAAGTCCACCACAATGGCCATCATAATGTGCATCGTTATAAACTAATTGGAATGATGAAGAATTAGGGGCACTTCGATTAGGGCATCTACACGCAATCTCACCCGCAAAAAATGCAATACCGGACACATGGTAATGCTGCCACCTGGCAGCCACAAGGTCTTCTCGAATGGATTCTGTCGTATGTAGCGTTTACCAATGTCAATAACCTGCCCCATGGTAATGGGTGATATATTTGCTGTGGCACAGTTGAACACACCGATCGGTTGATCCTTGGCGGGCGCCTCTTGCAAATATTTGAACGATGATAAAATTAAGCCACGAACAACGACATCGGCGGGCACAAAATCGGCCACGATATTCGGATCACAGTTTTGGGAGCGTAAAATGCCAACGGCACAGGCAACCAACATGCCCGTGGGTCCATTGAAATTATCCGCCCAACCCGGCACCGGTTCCTCCAGCGTTGAGATCACTGCGGGAGACATAGCGAGAGAGAGAGAGAGAGACAGAGAGAAAGAAAGAGAGAGAGAGAGAGATTTTTAGCTTCAGATAGATTAGCTCAACACTCGATATAGACCCATATGTGGGGTCTTCTGCACTTCTACCCAGAGCTTTACCGAAGAAAATCAAAGAAAATGAATTGCCTAGCAATACCGAGGATAGATTAGCTCAACACTCGATTTAGACACATCTAAAGGGTCTTCTACGCCTCATCTTCACAAGGGTTCCAAAGACTACCGAATAATATCGAAAAAAACAAAAAATCGCTAGCACTACCGAGCTTAAACCAAGCAGTACCAACTAAAATTGAGCAATACCCACCGATTGATGGTCTGAATATGAATATGGGCAGCTGATCCTTGTAATCATTGGCCACATGCTCGGCCAGGCTCTTGGTGAAGGTGTACGTATTCGGCTGAAAGTTGCCATATCTACAAATACAAATATTTAGCAGTTGGTGCATTAATCAATCAATCAATCAATCATTGCTCGTCAAACAAACGCACTTCAAATTGAAGACATCGAGGGTTTCCTCATCGTAGGTCTCGGCCAGTTTGATGGTGGTGCGCCAATCAGCATACGGTGGATAAATGCGCTCCTCCACCTCCAGTTCGGTGGGATTCGAATATGTGGTCGAAACATGAACGAAGGCCCTCAGTTTCTTCCAGGTCAAGGCGAGCTTGATGAGCTCATGGGTGCCACGGGTGTTCATCAGAATCGCATCGCGCAACGGATCATCAAAACTGTTGACCAAAGGGAACAAGATCTTATTTCACGGGGTTTCATGAACATCATCAATCGGTGAACACACTTACCGCACCGAGGCAGCCGAATGATAAACGATGGTCACATTCGTCAGACGCTTCAGATCCGATTCGCTGATGCCCAGTCCCAGTTGGGTAACATCTCCGCCAATTGGCACCACCTTGGCCAGGGTATGTGGCTGTTCGCGTCGCAATCTTTCGTATAGCTTGCAATTGAGTAACGCCTCCAGTCTCGACTCGATGGCGACACCCTTCTTGGGCCGCAGCAGCACATAGATTCTGCTTAGCGTTGGACACGAACGCAACAGTTTCTCAATGAGTGCCTTGCCAACGAAACCTATTTTGGCGTTTCATTTTTATGTGTACAACATGCAACACGCCAATTGAAGGAAACACATACCCGTGCCGCCAGTCACAAAGATTTCCTGATCCTTGAATGCCGCTGATATTGAAATTGACATGTTTGTCTCGCTCGGATCGATAACCAAATGCAATCTAGCCACCTTGAGCACAGTATTCGTTTTTTTTTTCCTCTCTGCCAACGTCGACGAACGACCGAAGTACAACGGACAAAATAATATGGAAATCCGTTTCGATTAGCCCCCAAGTGCCCCAAGGGGTCACTTCGATGAATATTCAATGAACACCAACAAAAAAAATGTACGCAAAATGAAATATAAATAAAACTCAGCAGAGTCCACCTCATTTTTCCATTGGCAAATGGCAAATAATTTCTAATTCTTTATTTTGTTTTTTTTTTATTGCGTATTTTTCGGATTTTTATTTTTTTTTTAAAGACACGTTTTTATTTATTTTATTGCTGAAAAGTGCATATTTTTTTCTTCTTTGTTTTATTAACTTCCTTTGCGATATGAGTGTATTTGGCTTAAAGATAAAGACATTTTTTTAAATTAATATTTTTCGAAATCGAATTAAAAATTTATTTATGATAGTGGAAGACTTTTGGAGTAGGCTTAAATGGGAAATTTTTTTTAGGAATAAAATACCAATATGGATATTCGAAATTTGACAAGACAAGTAAGAATGATTCAGTCGGGACTGCCCGCTCGGGATATACCCTTTATCCAACTGTTAAAAACACATGTTCCACTTTTATTTAGCAGCACAACTCAAGGGCTAAAATAAATCCCAAAAAAAAAGCCCAACATATTTGCATATATGTATGTATACATATTAATGCACGCATACATTTACAGGAACTGGATGAAAAAAATACTTGCCTATTTAGTGGCTGCTGCTGTGTGTGTGAATAACGGAGGTTAATCCAAGTTGGTGAGCGCAACTAAAGAGAGCGAGAGAGCGATCCTTGATCTTGGACAATGCCAAATGCTAATTAAGAAGCGAAGCAGAGAAAACGAAAGAGAGCATGAGTTGCATTTTATGCTGTGGTTGTTTTTGACGCACTACAAATGAGAGAGGATTATTATGCATTTATATCTTGTGTGCATAAGTGCGCTGCGTTTTATTGGGTTGGTTCCCATGGGAAATTCCAACTTCTCTGCATTTTGATAAAACTCTTGATCAACACATGGCAGTAAAAAAAAAAATAATTTTATGAAATACAAACGAAATATTTACATGTCAAATTTGCAAGAGAATGGAAAAGAAGCAATTTCGTGTCAAAAATAGTTGTGGAAGCTGAGCGAATGTGGCACAATGTTAATTTATAAACCATTTATTAAACACGTCCAAGCTCTTTCAAAACGATGCCAAGCAAGCAATTTTGTGGATAGCGTTAGAATAAACGGCACTTTAATCGCAGCGATTGCCTCATTTGCCTTTGTGGAATGGAATGGTCCACATTACAAGTTTAAGATCATTAGCACATGTATGTATGTGTGTGTGTGTGTGTCTCTGCCGCTGCACTTCAGCAGTGCGGCGGAGAGAGACGGAACGCAAGCCAGCTGTATGTGTGTGTGTATGTGTGAGCTGCGAAAGCTTAGAGTTCGTTGACCTCCCCACACCAACAATGATTCTGTTATTATTCTGCAAATAGGAATACAAATAATACTTTCAATACTTGTTTGCATTTCACATTTTAATTAACATTTTCAGGCGTAAACTTATCGTCAATTCAATACGCATGCAATTAGAAAAGTGTACAAATACAAAAAAAAAAAAATAGAAGAGAAATACTAAATACGCAATACAAAAATGTTCAACTTAAGTTTTAAAAGAGAGCGCAGTTGATGATGATGATGATGTTTTTGATGCTGATGCTGTTGTCGTTCTTTCCTTTCCTCAACTCTCTTACTCATTTACCTTCTCTCTCTCTAACTAAACACACGTGCAGTGTGTGTGTGTTATTGCATTTGCCGGCCGGCAAAATGTTAGAGCGAGATAAATGAGCGTAAAGTTAGGCAAAGTCGCAGAGTGAGCGGGAGGGTGGATGGTGGAGGAGAGAGCGCAGTAAAGGGGGTGGCTGGTGGCAGTTAACAGCAAAAAGAAAGAGAGAGAGAGAGAGGGTAACAGAAAACAGAGTTGCTTAAGTTTTTTTTCCATCATATTTTTGTTTCACTTTGTTTATAATTACATCATAATTAAAAAATAATACATAAGGTTGAAATTTTACAAAACTCGCAGCTGTTGTTGTTCTGCATATTTTTGTGTTGTTGTTGTTGTCTTTTGCTTGCTTTTCATTTTTGCTGTTTTTTTTTGGAATATTTTCATCATGTTGTTGGTATGTGTGTGTGTAATAGATTTTTTAAGTGGAATGGCAGAAAGAGAATATATAGGTATATATATAATATAGATAGATGTTCTTGTCTCAAATTATTTTCATGTTATATTATTAAAAAGGTATATAAAAAACAAAAAAAAAAAAAAATAATTATGCATGTTTATAAATCATACATATATATATATATATATGTATATATCTCCATGTGAAATAAATTAAATTAATGCTAGAGAACACAACATATGACGACGACGTGTTGTCTTTTGTTTTTTTTTTTCTTTATATGATGATTGTGTGTGTGTATGTGTGTGTGATCTGCTCGCTCTTCTCTTCTTTTGCATCTGTTTCTTCTGCTTCCACTTGTTGATTGTTGATGTTGTTGTTGCCACTCCACTTCACTCCACTCCATGCCACTCCCCACATTCCATGCAACTCCTGCTTAGAAGCACTTGCGGTGAACAATGGATGGTCCAGACTCATCGTACTCCTGCTTGGAGATCCACATCTGCTGGAAGGTGGAGAGGGATGCCAGAATGGAGCCACCGATCCATACAGAGTATTTACGCTCGGGTGGTGCAATGATCTTGATCTTCATGGTCGATGGGGCCAAGGCGGTGATCTCCTTCTGCATGCGATCAGCAATACCAGGGTACATGGTGGTGCCACCGGACAGCACTGTGTTGGCATACAGATCCTTACGGATATCCACATCGCACTTCATGATCGAGTTGTATGTGGTCTCATGAATGCCGCACGCCTCCATGCCCAGGAACGAGGGCTGGAACAGGGCCTCGGGGCAACGGAAACGCTCATTGCCAATGGTGATGACCTGACCATCGGGCAACTCATACGATTTCTCCAGAGAGGAGCTCGATGCAGCCGTGGCCATCTCCTGCTCGAAATCGAGTGCAACATAGCACAATTTCTCCTTGATGTCACGGACAATTTCACGCTCAGCAGTTGTGGTGAACGAATAGCCACGCTCCGTCAGAATCTTCATCAGATAATCGGTTAAATCGCGACCGGCCAAATCCAGACGCAGAATGGCATGGGGCAGGGCATATCCCTCATAGATGGGCACCGTATGGGAGACACCATCGCCAGAGTCGAGCACAATACCAGTGGTACGACCAGAGGCATACAGCGACAGCACAGCCTGAATGGCCACATACATGGCGGGTGTGTTGAAAGTCTCGAACATGATCTGTGTCATCTTCTCGCGATTGGCCTTGGGGTTCAGGGGTGCTTCGGTGAGCAGAACGGGGTGCTCTTCGGGCGCCACACGCAACTCATTGTAGAAGGTGTGATGCCAGATCTTTTCCATATCATCCCAGTTGGTCACAATGCCGTGCTCAATGGGATACTTCAGAGTGAGGATGCCACGTTTGCTCTGTGCCTCATCACCGACGTACGAATCCTTTTGGCCCATGCCAACCATCACACCCTGATGACGCGGACGGCCCACAATCGATGGGAAGACGGCGCGGGGCGCATCATCACCGGCAAAGCCAGCCTTGCACATGCCGGAGCCATTGTCGACAACCAATGCAGCAACTTCTTCGTCACACATTTTGTAAGCTGCAATATCAAAGTAAAACAAATTTGGGAAATATTAGAGAAAAATGAACAAAAGTCAATTAAAATTGCATTATATAATATAATATATTAAATATATATTTATTATTATATCACACTTTCAAAATAATAACTGCAATCGAACGATGAAATTCACTAAACTCAACAAATCGAAATATCGTAAAATCCGCAAGTTATAAATTTTGTTCTTCGTTTAAAAATTGAACTCGTTCTCTATCTTTATCTTACTCTCTCTATCTCTCTTTCTCTTTCTGTCTTCGAGGGCCAACACCCTGCACATAAAAGCAGCAAATTTCACAAAAAAAAAAAAATGCCGGTGCAAAGCGGGCAAGTGAAGAACTACACAAACGCTCTCAAGTGTCTGTGTGTGTGTATACACAGGCACTTAAAATGGCCGCCACGAAGAAAAAAAAATCGGAAAAAATAAGAAAGAAAAAAGTACGCTGATGCCGGCAGCCTGCATTTAACTAGTTATTTACACGAATTTTATTTGGTGATTTTACCTTTTTGTTTTATTTAACAATAAACGACGAAAATAATTTTAAGAAAAACTGAATTGTATGTTTTGCAATTCAAGTTGAATAAAATTGAAACCACACTTGATTGTTGGTAGGAGGCGACGAGGCGATAGATTGACTGAAATGCAACCGCACCGTTTGACTGCCGAAAGAGGAATGAACAGACTGGTGAATGCCAGTTAACAGCTATTTCAAGCGCTACTTTCAGCCGACGACGTCGTCGTCGTCATCGTTGTGGTATCTATGCGAGCATTGTCTGCTCGCTCGCTCGCACACAGCGAATGGTGGCGCATGCGTGCGAAAGAGAGCGCACCACTAGCACGCTTGGGTTGCCAACTTTTGTGACCATATATGGTCATGTTTCGAAGCGCAATCGTCGAGAGAGACGATGGAGAGAGCTGAAAATCATCGCCGCTTTCGCTCTTTCTCTCTCTTACTCGCTGAGCGACGACGCTGACGACAGTTGACAAATGTTGAAGGTTTTCTCCATTTTAGCGCGGCTCATTAAAAGAAAAAAAAAAAACAACAAGAAAAAAAACCGGCATTTTTGCATTGAAGAAATACCGAATAACTTTAATGACGTGATTCCTTGACTATTTCTGGCCAACTACGCGTCTACGTCACTTGCACCGTGGGCTGCTGGCACACATTTAAACGCACATATGTGCATGTATGTGATGTGCCTGTGTATGTAGCATGTTCATGCATGAATTTGGCAGTTACTTTTCAAATGAAGTTCGCCATGAAAGTTAATTGAAGCGTGGGAAATATAGAAAGTGTTTGCGAATTGAATTTGTGTGTTGCAAAGTGGCTAAAAAAAACTGTCACCAGTTCTTTCTTTTCGCTGCTGCTTCTTCTATTATTTCTTTTTTTTCGTTGGCCTTGTCTTAATTTGGAAATCCGCATTGGGCACGCCCCTCCACTAGATCGATGTGTATATACATACACAACACACATATACATATGTAAGTGTGTATTTATGTCTTCTTCTAACTTCTGGCGTTTATCAAATAGACTTTATATCTTATCGATCCACAAATTTTATGATAACACAAATTCTTAAGAGAATTTCCTTTCAGTAGTTATTTTGTAATTATTTTTTTGGTTATTTCACTAGCGTGTCACCGCGTGACTTTTTTGTTGTTGTTGGTATTGATTAGGTTTGGTTTTTTTTATATCAAGAATGTCATTAATCGACTCTTGGACATTATCACACATATATATATAAATATATTTATATATATATATATATATATATGCATGTCTGTATCTATATTCCACAAGCACTTTTATACAAAAAAAATGTATTTAAAAAAATATATATATTCGCTATTCACGATTCGTTTGCAGATTTCATTTTTGAGTGTTTTTGAAACTTTTTATATTTTTGATGTATTTTGTTGGATTGGCATTGATTGATTTGTTTGTTTTGCTGGTAGATGTACAAAACAAAAACAAAACAAAAAAAAAAAAATACTTACATTTGGTCTGTTTTGTTTAAAAGTAATTAAATAAATATAAATTAAGTCTTTCGGTTTGTGTGTCTTTCGTTTAGACGACTTAAGCTGGCTGCTTTTAACGGTTTTGTGTCGGGAGGAGTATCCACACAGCACAAGAACTCAAACTGTAATGACATGAAAACTGGTCGCCGCTTGCCGTTTTATAAAGCCAGTGTCCGTCCATCTGTCCGCCAGCCGGCAAACCGTATTTTAGCGCCTTATCACAGCGGCCACTTACACACTTCTCCAGGCTGCCAAGCGTTTTACCATATATGGTATGAATTCAATTTTTACCCCGTTTTTGTGACTAGCTGCGCCAGTATCTGTGTATGTGTGTGTGTGTGTGCTGCTCACGAAGAGTATTCCACAGCATAATCCCCTATTACGGGTGTGACTTGCTCAAATGTTGACTCACTTTGCGATACGCTTTGCACTGTTTTCAGCAATTTGTTATCAAGTGATTTCCGATTATCAATCCGAATCAGAATCAAATTAGATGTGATTCCTTCTCTCTGTTCTTTCTACTTACAAAGTAACTGGCGTAAAGGAATTTAGCACAGCAAATGGAGAATTTTACTAAATATTTCAGATAATTATAACACTTCGCAAGTTTTTATTTCGGAGTTGTGAAATGTTATGCCTAATATTAGAGATTGAATTCGAGTTATAAAATGTTATGCTTCACTTAAGGATCATATCTATAAAACCCAAGAAACTTGTCTCTGTTAATTGTCTTGCGCTAACAAACAACATAAATCGTAGCACAACTAAAACAATCCAATTATCTACAAATATTCCATAAGTAAGAAGAGAGCGCAGGGTATTCACTGTTCAGCATCATTTTTGGTTTAAAGCTCGGTTTGTAGCTATAACGGCGCCAGCCTAAAACAGCTGCCAGTTGATGCGCCAACCACGCGTTTGCGCAAAAGAGACAGAGCCACACTCAATCACACATATACTAGCACATACACTCTCTCTCCCGCACATGCATGCACGCACAGACACAAACAAATGACGAGCACACAAATGCTCATTCACTTGCTGCGCTCAGCGCGATGCTGACTCAACTCGGCTCGGTGGTGCAGAGGGTTTGTTTTTTTATTTCATTTTTAATTTTTTGTAAACATTTGCTATAGCTAAATGGTTAAACATTTGCAACTCTTTCTTTATTATGATTATTATTATTTAAGTAAATGATCGAAAAGATGTTTTTGATATCGCTGGCTAAGGCAAACAGCCAAAGTCGCTCTCTTTCGCTCTCACAGCTGTGTGTAAAAGTGAAAGAGCGTAGTGCGAGTGGTTGCCGGGCTCAAGAGAGGGGAAAGTTGCAACAAGCATGCACCAGCATATACATGTATGAGTGAGTGTCTGTGTATATGTGCGTGCGTGCGTGTGTGTGTGTAACGGCAACTGCTCATACATGGCAAACGAAGGCATTCCATTGGCAATCATGCTTTTTACTATTGCCGGTTGACTAATCATTGTTTAAATAATTGCCCATTTTCAAATCAAAATGACGCAGAAATAGTTAACAACATTTCAAAAGCAACGCACGCAATATATGTGTATGCATGTGTGTGTGTGTACATAAAGCATAAAATACACACGCACTCAATGACAGTCACGAGCATCGGCATAGCCAAAAACAAAAAAGAAGAAGAGGAACGTCAACGAGAACGAGAGAGAGAGAGTCTTACGCAGACATATTCTCTCACTGCGAACAGCATAAAAAGAAAACAACAGAAACGCTTGGCACAAGGAGTGGCAAAAATGACGTTGCTCCACACTATTCGATCGCCATTTATCTCTACATGCTATATACATACATATGTATATGCATATGCATGTGCTGTGTGTTTTAAGTGTGCTTATGTATTTGCAGTTATTTGATTCATTTGCATTTTGTGAAGAAATCGAATGCAGGCGGGCAGCTGATTGCTTGCCATTCGGGGAATTCTTATTGGTCAAGGCAGACGCTCAATTGGAAATGGGAGCTTTCCTCTCGCAGTTTGTCTCAGGTTTTCTTTTTTTAAAATTTTGTTTCATATTTATGCCAAGTCAAAATAATGTAATTCTCATGGTATTAACCGTTATTCGCAAGCGTCAGCAATCGCGTTCCATTCTCTTCTTCGCTTCTTGTTCTGCTTTCGTCGATAAGCTTTATCGCATTTTTATTACTTAATGAGTAAGGTATGGAAAAAGAATTATGGTCATAACTTACATGTATCTGTGTGTAAAATGTGTAAAATACTTTGAAAAATATTGTAAAATTAGTTATTTCAAAAATTGCATGTTCTGAAAATATGTTTAATAATTGTATTTAATTGAATACATCATTTCTAATTTCTAACCAACAATATTAAATGAAAGCTTAAATTCTGCACACTATTTCAAAATAATTTAATTCGATAAAATGCGTAAATGCTGACATAGAAAATATTTGTTTATTTTGCGTATTAGGAAATTTAGTGAATTTATACACAATACAATTATTTACCGATTCAATGATTTTAATCAAATCGAACTAATTAGCATGAAATTTAAATAAAATTATAATAAAAGCACTAGTTTATTGGACATTTAGTTTTCGTCACGCTGGAAAGCATTTTGGAAAGGCAAATGAAATATTTTCAATGCAATCATTTAAGAGACATTCAAACAGAAGATATGTACATTTGTATGCGTATGTGTGTGTGTGTGTGAAATGACCTTGTCGGTAGGAGTCAAGGGAGACAAGTGTGTACACACAGCTGGATCTTGATCGAAACTAGAAATAATTAAAATAGCCAAAAACGGCACATTTACTGCTGCTGCTGCTGCTTTTGCCGATGACTTTGAAAAAAGCAACAACAACAATACAAGCAGACAATCAGCAACAACAAGAGCCATGATCAACGACCTTTCTCCAAAAAGTTCGAAGCTCGTCACGTTTTCTACACACACACACACATACGCAGGAAAGCTCATCGAGCAGACTTTAAGTGGAAGGGGTAGGGGAGGTGTAAACTGAGACGAAGACAACAGTTACAAGCGCAGTTCCACTTGCTCAACAACATCCACACTGCATATATCTGTGTGTGTGTGTGTGTGTGCACTAGGCACGCACTACTACATACAGTTGCGGTCAAAATAATAGTAGCGCTGTTTCTCAATATCACTCATTTAATGGTAATAGAATTAGGACCTCTTCAAAATCTTCAATATGAGGTAATATTTTAATTTTGCAAAACAAAACCTGTTTGATTTCAAATACAATTGTTTTCCAAATAATAAATGTAGTAAAATATAAACACCTATATTATTAAGCCGCAGGGAGTGTTGAGAAAACCTCACACTATTATTCCACTACTTTTTTTAAAAATATTTTTCAAAACATGTGTGCACTACTATTATTTTGACCGCAGGTGTATGTGCATGTGTGAGCTTGCTCGATGTTGAGCTGAGTCTCCAAGACTTGTGGCTCAGAGTCAAAGTCGCAGCCAAAGCCAAAGCCAAAGCCATTGTCAAGGTCATTGAATGAGAAAAGTTTTACGTTTTTTTTCGCAATTAATATGGCATTTAACGCGCGTATGCGTATTTGGTATTAATATGCATGCATGCACACTGCCCCGCCCTCGCCGCCCCTCCTCCTGCTTTTGGTCTGAAACTGAAAACTTGCACATTTTCACTACAACTTTTTTTTGTGTGTGTGTTGTTTTTTTTTTGGCCACAGACTTCGCATTCAGGTACGACCAGTTTCGACCATGATAATCACAGCACCGAAAATCTCATTAATTGTTTACTTAATTGGAGTGTGATTCGTGAGTGGGATTCGCTTAACAGTCCCATTTGGACTAGATTTCTTATATATATATATAATATATATATTATATATATATATTTATATATATTTTATCTAACTGTTTAAATAGGATTCTTATACGATATACCAGAACCTGGTTGCTACACTAAGAAAAGAAGAAGGTCCTAAATTTGAATAAATCTCCCTAAAATAAAGACAGTTTTTCTATTAGTCAGAAATAATTTATTTAAAAGATTTACATTTTTCTACATTTTCGAAATGTTTTTCAGGTATAATCATACATTTAACAACACTATTTATGCGCTTTCTTACCAATTTGAGCATACCAGAAGATCTTCATGAAAATACGCATTTATTAAGCTAAATGATTTTCTCAAGTTGATCATGGTTCGAGTCGAATGACTGCAATATATTTAACGTAAAGTGGGAGGGGCTGTAGTTATGGTTAGTGGTTGGGTGTAGGGGGTATGGGTAGGGTTTGCTACTTCTTAAGAGATAAGTTGCGTGCCATAATTACCGGCATGAAAATGTTAATACAAAGTACTCAAATTCCAAAAGAAAAAAGTTGTTAATTGTTCGCCTAATTGATGCTGATTAAAATGCAAGCGGGCAGCCGCTGAAGATGAGCCCACATGCACGTATGTTATCGATAACATTTAGATTAACGGAGAATATCGAGTGTGCTGAGAAAGCGGATCACACAACCAGTTGAACTCGATGAAACCCATTTGGATTAAGATATTCAGTTTGAGCGCACTTTGAGGTCGTTTAATTAAGTTCTGCGGAGCATTCAAAAATGTCTCATCTCTAATTGCCAGCTAACGGCCTCATTGCGTGTTGAATGAGCGGAGGAGGAAGAAGAAGAAGCGGCAGAGGCAGAGGCAGAATTTAAAGCGGCTTTTGGGAAAAAGTGAAAAATGATTTTTTATTGTTTATTGCGAGGGGCGTCAATTTTTCACAATTTCACTTTAATGCCAATGTACGACTATATTTGTGCGTGCCTCTTGGAAATGCCTCCCCCTCCCCCTCTCTCGCACTCGCACTCACAGTCGCTCCATCTATAGATGTATATTGTTGTCTCTTTCATTAACGGCTGTCCATCCATTTCGTTTTCGGTGGGTGCGCATTTCACATGAATAAAATAATTAGCCAATTCCAAAAATGTTTTGTGGCCAGCAACAACAACGCGTGCAGAAAGAGAGAGAGAGTGTGTGTGAGAGAGAGGGAGAGCAAGTTAACCCAACAAACAATATGTTCAGCAATTAAATGAAATTTATAAAACAAATTTCTTATGTTTATTTCTGATATTGTTTAAATAAAATGGAAAACAAAATGTTAAATATTCATGGAAAAAAAAAATAAATTGTTTATACA